AGTAGGAAGTGAACACAATAGAAGGCAGACACAGTGGTACCAAAGTCATTACAAAATGTAAATTAACTTTAGTGGCCCTTCTCACTGGAGTTTCTCTCTTGATCTAGCTCATGTCATGAGTAAGGACATTTTACATTTTTCATATACTGCTTCTGGGGAAAAAGGAAAAAAAAAAAGGGAAAAAGAGAAGGATGCCAGTTATTTCTCCAGCATGTTGGAATTACTCAGCGTTGCTTTTAAAGGAACTGTTTTTTGGTCTGTGTTTAATGTCATCAGAATTGCATTTCTTTCCTGAACAACTTTTATTTTGCTTGCTGTACATGGGTAGACTATACATGATAACTAAAAAATGTGTAAAGTGGTACTAAGATCCAGATCCAATACGGACATTTCAGAAGTTAATTCCTTAGAATGACAGTCAAGCACCTAGATAGTTCTGTGGATCTGACCCTTGAATTCCAAGTTAGGATCTTAGAGTAGCGGCCAGGAAAGGTGACAGGGTTCTGGTGATTTTTTTTCTGCTGTCATGATGCAATATATTCTGAGTACACAGGCACATTGCAAACTAAAAAGCCACATAAGTCCTCTAACATGCAATATGGTCTAAGAGACTTAAACTTGGAAGATAAATCCAGCATAGAGTGGCCTTCTGGACACATGGCTTCTCAAGCATATACAAAGGAAAAGTAGACCGTTTGGTCTTAAGCTGGACACAGCCAACCCAAATCACACATGCTGCAGCAGCCTTCTGTCTGTCAATCCACACAAAGCCAATGCTGAAATGAGACAGTGCGCCAGCTGATTCTGTTGATTCCTGATTTTGGGAATCTATTTAAGGGAAAGAAGCAGTCTAGATCACCTTGCTCTTGGTTACACAGGAATAAACGGAGGAAAAGAATTTGACATCATTCTTTCTTGTTGTCACAACAGTCCTAAAGCCTGGAAATTCCTGCTTCCTTAAAACTTTGCAGGTCAGGCTACCAACAAGATGTCAAGATCTTTTGGCTCCTGCAAGCAGATAGTCTCATTTCAGTGCATACCTCTAAAGCCAGTTAAAGGTACTGTATACCGTATTATGTGTTTTTGCTGGTCTGTAGCAAATTAAAATATTTTGATATAAAGATCATAGTCATGATTAATATACATTCTCATTATAGTACAGCTCAAGCTGCCTGCCTGATTGATGAACCTAAGCAAACAGGACTGTATAAATACCCTGACAAACTGCCAGGGCAGATCTATGATGCTGATACCCAGTGCAAATGGCAATTTGGAATGAAAGCAAAACTGTGCAACCTCAGCTTTGTAAAGGTACCTATTGATATACTTTTGAAAAGTTAAAATTACATTAGAGAACTGCAGTACACTAAATAAGTACAAGTAATAGAGTGTTCTGGGCCTGGGCTATTTCTCTACCTTATCTTGACTGGCAATTTGCTTTGAAGGTACTGGCCTCTTTTGAGTAATATCTCAATCCCAGGGGAGTTTCAGAAGGAAATCTGTTCTTTCCAGGAGCCATAAGGAGACCAGTTGAATACGTAAGACCCATGAGCCCTTGCCTGCTATGCTAAGGGAAATGAGCAGGCAGTAGAGTTTTGATCAAAACTTGCATGGGGCCTGGGGTGTGGGGTAAGAAGGACAAAGTTTCTTGTGTTTTGTTTTACTCATTCATTGACAGCAAAGTCTGGAAAAGATCTATATAGTTATTTTAGAACAATAAAAATGTAACTTAGACTCTTGACTTTGTGATGAAGGATTAATTTAGATTAACCCATTATTTTAGTGACTGCTGCACTCCTTGCTGATCTCTTCAGAGAAGACATTTTATTAAATAATCTCGAGTGCTCATTCTGAAAATAAGTATTGTCATTTCTTTTACTCCTGTTATTATCCTGGAGTACTTTATTTTATTCTAACCACGTTTATCAGGTGATGGCATCTGTGTTTCCTCTCCAGCTAATAAACAAAGAGAGAGTGAACCACACTGTGAAGACACTGTTTCCAGATATCTCCTGTGTTTTAGAAAATCTAGTCTCTTCGTAGTATTATAGTCCCTGTAGACTTGGAAATTTTAGCCTTGAACTTTTTAGCACTATTTTTGTTCTATTATAGTCAAACACTCAGAATTGTTTTAAAAATATATACTGAAATGGTGCATAAACAAGTTGGCTACATATAGGATATGGCTGTGCCATGAATCTTAAACCCTGGATTTTCTAAATTCTGAAAAGGTTTTATTTATATGGCCTTTAAGGTAGCAAAGGCCTGTATCATTTGTTACTCTTTCTAAACACCAGGAAATAATGGGAATTATGAATACTATAGTGAGTATTTTTTTTTCTTTTCAGGATATATGCAAATCTCTCTGGTGTCACAAAGTGGGTCATAGGTGTGAGACAAAGTTCATGCCAGCAGCAGAAGGCACAGCTTGTGGTATAAGTATGGTAAGTTGTTTTATAAATAGGACAATGTCATTCTAACTTGTTTCTAGACTGTATTGGGTCAAATACCAGCTCCTGTCAAAACCAGTTTTATCCAGATCCCTCCAGGTGTGCTATCATGCACTTCTGGATTGCTCTGTAAAAGATTGCATTGCGATAGTCAGGACCGGTCCTCACAGTGGCACCTCTCTGAGGTAGGGAGTGATGCCTCTCCCATATAACTATGGAATAAGATACACCTGGCAAATCTAAATCACTAAGAAAATTAATTATAACAGAAGTTAGAACAGGGGTTCCAATTCCACTCTGATTTGAACATTCCTCAAGCCCTAATATTTGCTGTACAGACTAAGGCCATCATGCGTATCATTGTCAGTGATCACTACTGAAAGAGCATGATTTTTTGTTTCAGTTGAACCTTCTAATTTACACTCATCTATAGTTACACAAAATATTTTCTTTTGCTGTAATGTTTCTTCCAGTAGAATTCTGTTTTGATTTCCAAGTTACTGACAAATGTTCTATTTCGCTTTTTCTCTTTGTGCAGTATTTCAAATTCAATGATAAAAGGGAAAAATTTTAGCAGATTTTTAGCAGACTATTTTTAAATTACATGGGAACTTTTGAGGTTCTGACAGCACAGGACCATAAATGAACATGGATTTTTTTGGGAAGAGTAAGCCAAAAAGATACTCTCCAAGAGAACAGTTTTGCAGATTTGTACCTCAGAGATCTTCAACTCAGAGCTTGGACAAATTTTAGAACATTACTTATCTATACCATTGTGTGGAATAATGTCCTACTTCAGAGTCCTTGTTCTACTGTAAACTATCTCATTGAGTTCAATGGGTGACCTCATGTTTATGAGGGTTAAGCACTGGAGCTTTTAAATGTGGATTTTTCCTTTGTTGCATCTACTAGGTACCGCTAACTTTGATGGGATATTCTTTGGCATTCTTTTGGCAGTGGTGTCGAAGAGGACAGTGTGTCAAATATGGTGATCATGGACCCAAGCCTGTAAATGGCCAATGGTCTGCCTGGTCCGAGTGGTCAGAGTGTACTCGCACTTGTGGAGGTGGGGTCACATATCAAGAAAGACACTGCAATAATCCAAAGTAAGCCATAGATATGAAAAGGTATTATTTTTATGCTAATTGTTTAAGTTTTTAGAACAAATAAAAAAAAACAAAACCCAAACAGAACAGAATCCAGTTCTGTAG